GCCGGCCGTCGCGTCCTGGCCTTGGCGCGGGTGTGTTTTGTCCAGCTCGGGCTGTGGGAAGCCGGCGAGGCGGGGTGGTGGAGCCCGGTCCGTGAGGGACCGGCCAGGGGAAACTGCCGAGAGCGGGGAAGCGGCGGCAGGCGGGCGAGGAGGCTCCCTGGAGCTCGCCGTCTCCCGTCCGAGGGCGAAGCCTCCCCGCTGAATGTGAACACCGCAAGGCTTGCTTCACGCCAAGCCGTTAAATAGCAGCGCGGCGGTTGCTTTTCCACCTAAGGCCTCCCCGTTAAACATGAACACCACAGGGGTTTTTTTCACCAACACAAGAGTTAGGAATTCATCAGCCCACAGCCTGCGGCAGAAAGCTGCATTTACTTCAAGTTGTTTGAGGAGCAGGGCAGTAGAGCTCAGCCGTTCAGGAGCCCGAGGCCTGTTCGATGGCAGTGGGTGTGCAGTCAAAGTCGCTCCTGGTATTTTAAAAACCCTCCCCAAACGCAGTTTGGCCGGGGCTCCCGGGTCCGGACAGGACTGACGGGATGTCACGTCCGTCACCGTTTTCTGGGATTCGGGTACGGTCGGTACTCGCCTACTGGTTGTTACCCACCACTGATAGCACAGAGAGCACGAAGGAAAATTGTGAGAGAGGAAAAAAGCCCCAGTGGTTGGAAATGAACACCTATGTTTTGTTTCATTGTTGCAGGATAAGGGTTTTCCCCTTTTTGCCTTTTTTTCCCCCCCAAGAATGCTGCTGTGAAGCACTGGGGGCCGGCGGCTCCTCCCTGCATCCCATATGCAGCTACAGTGGAGCCCGTAACCCTGGATTTCCTACTGTAAGATTAAGTTACTACATTATAAACACTTTAGTAGTTTGCCAGTGTTAAAAAACTGTTCTTTGATAGAAAGTTAATCCAAAGCCCCTTAAAAAAGTCCCATTTTTCTGGACTCGTAAAGTGGTGTTATCACATGATTTCATGAAAATGAGCTCGGAGCTAGGCCGTCTGCTCCGAGGCCGCCTGAATGCACCCACACAGGCATCTCACCATCGTGAGCGGTTTGTACATTTGGTCTCTGTTACGTATCTGCTACTGGTTACGTATTTTCGTATGAAAACCAGATGCCTACTACAAAAGACGCATTCTAGAAACAAGCCAGAGCGCGAAGGGCACAAAAATGCTACTCTAGCTCATAAACTGAATAAAATAAAAACCCAATTTTAATACGTTATGAAAGCTTCCTTCCCTTCACAAGGTTAAAAAAATAAAATCTGTTTACTGCATTCTTTAACGATGTGCATATTCGACCGAGGCGGCACGCACCGACGTTCTCCCTGTGGAAGCGCCGTATGACGTGAGGCGTAGCCCAAGCCTGAAGGTCGCACTGGTGACTTTCCGCTAGAAACAAGCAGAAATTTTAAAAGCAGTTTTGTGCACATTGGACTCAATACACACTTTCCTCCTCCTCTAAATCCTTCTGCGTGCTCGCCTTTAGAATGCATAAGGTTGGAATATTAGTCTTTTATAGACGTCATAATCTTTCTGCTTATATTGTTCTAGACCTTTCAGAGGCTTTTACATAACAATTTAGGAAAATACTCTTTGAAAGTTAATTTAGCTTAGCACAAACATAGGTAAAAGCTCAAAATAGCAAGTTGTTTCATGTTAATCGGAAGTTTGAACAAAGCCAGAGAATTATTTTTCTCTTTCTTGCAACGCATGATAATAATTCAGTACCATTTTTAGTCTCTGTAAATTGAGTTAAATTGTTATGTTCTTTTCAGCCTAGCTTTACTGTCTGCTGCAGTGTAGAAGACAGGAACCTTGCTGTAAAATCCAAGTCTAGGTCATTATAAACTACATAAAGCTGTGGTTTAACAAAGTCAGTCATTAGTGTCTGTCTGTCTGTATGCTGTTGATTTTTTTGCTGCTACATCAGTGGGAGGATGCATTTACTGGTCCGAAATCGTGAACAGGTTCCCCAAACTGATCTGTGATGGAGTGGTTCCTAGGAGATGAAAAGCCACACATCTCTCTCATAACAATATAAAGTCAAGGAATTCATAAATGGTGCGAATCGAGTTTGTCTTACGTTCGAAGCTGACCTGAATTAGTTAATACTTTTTCTTTTCTTTAGATTTTTTTGGTGTAAAATCTACAAATCACAGACTTCCTAATTCAAATAAAACAACAAGCTTCAGCATAAATTAGGGGATGTTTTAGAACTCCCCTAATCCTAAGCACAGATCTTCATATGCTTTTCAGAATGCCTACAATTAAACGCCAATTGGTAGTGATGTCCTGCAAAACGTCGTCTTTCGCTGGACGACGAGGCAGTGAAACCTGTGTGCCATCAGTCTCTGGCGGTTTGTTGAGAAGTAGCAATATTTAGAAAATAATATACACATACAGATTTAAGAAATGGACAACAGTTCTCTGTAGATGTTTATTCTACTTACAGTAACAAAAACCTGTGAAGTCCCGTATTTTAATGTACAGTGATATATTTTGCCATATAAAATACAATTTACAGAAATTTCTATCAAGGAAACCTAAACAAACACACTTACTCTTTGCATACTTTTATGTATGTCTTTAAATTAGAAACATCTCATTAAGAAAAAAATCTTACACCATAGTAGATGTTTGCATTTAATACCACCTCTCTGCATTTTAACATTTTGTCTACAGGTTCAGAATACAGACGATCGTTTCAACCAGCAAATCCTTGATGTAGAAGGACTTCAAAGATGCACCAATACGAACTGTAAAATCTGTAGGGAGATACATGGCATACACGCTACTTGTCACGTAGTCTTCAAGCTGCAAATGTTTATAGGAATGTAATTTTACATTTCCAAAACTATTTTATAAAAATATCAAAATATTTACCCAACTGTTCATTTACACGGTCAAATAAATTAGCGGGGTTTATTTCATACTTTTAGAATTACGTACTTGAAGAATTCATGAGAAGTAGCAATGCAACGTATTTCACAGTGGCAAACTTCCCTCTCGAACAACAACACGAAGTACCGCCACTCTTCTCTTCCAGCTGAACGCAGTTACACCTTTTTCAGCGGACAGTTTTATATACACTACCAGCCTAAGTAGGGTCTAACAAAAAAACAGTGACATTTTTTTTTCAGGAGCGAAACACTTTTAGAATGAAAAGTACAATAAAACGGGGACGTTTCTTAAGTCTATGGCAAAATTCTGCAAAACCAAAACCAAACCAAAAAAATGCTCCACTAAATCAGTTCAATCGAAGTAACAGATTTAATGGCCTGTTTAACCAACTGAGTCTTCTCTCCTTTGGTATCCCAATTCGTTTGTAGTCTTAGCTTTTTTCAAATAAATGTCTGATGTTTTTCTAAGTTTTGCTGGTTATAAAGGTGCTACTCTTGTATGTTCTTTAATTACAGATTTGTAAAAATGCGACATTTAAAACCCCTCAGCCTCATGAAAAAAACTAAGTACGACTTGCTTCTTCGCTGTACGCTTAACAGATGGATTCCAAAACACAAAAAAACCTGTATATAAAAAGGAAGATAGTGCACTTTAAGCTTACAACATTCCGTTTTCAAATCCTCCGTCAGTCACAAGTAATTATTAACACTGGTCTTCTGCAGCCTTTTCCTAAATACACACGACCCTTCTGTTGTAAAATAAACAAGACGGCAACATTGGACTCCTTTTTTTAAAGCGTGTGCTGTAGGAACAACTTTGACACCAAAATATCACGTAAATGAGATGTAAAGGTATGGCTCCTAAGGTCTGGATTAAATTCTCTTATAAAATTACAATTCAAGTTACTGGAAAACATAACTTTATAATCTTAAAAAGCAATATGCTCTTCTTAGACTTTTTCCATTTCTGTACTGTAAATGGAAATTTTAAGATAAAGATGCAAGTAGAAAAACAAAATTTCAGTACAGGTAACGCTGTGAATCTTTATAAGAAAAACATTATGCACAAAATGCAGCAAGTGAAAGTCCAGTCTGTTCTTGCCGTTTATCTATTCGAGTATTTTCATTCACAGTTGTTCAAAAATTGCTAATTTGTCAGTACAT